GATCGTAGTATTGAGTTTGCTTCTAAATTTCCAGATGAAATTAAGGATAAAACTCAACTTCAAAGATTTCTTGGTAGTTTGAATTATATTCGAAATCACTATAGAGATCTTGCACAGGATACAGCAATTTTGTACACCAGGTTAAGGAAATCTCCTTCCCCATGGACTTTGGAACACACCAAGGCAGTCCAGAAGATTAAACTCAGAGCAAAACAAATTCCTTGCTTAGCTCTAGCCAATTCTTCATGGTTCAAAATTGTGAAAACAGATGCATCCAATATTGGATATGGTGGTATTCTTAAACAGAAGAATCCAAATACAGGAACAGAGGAGCTTGCTCGCTTCACTTCAGGAACTTGGAAAAATGCACAATTAAATTATTCAACCATCAAAAAAGAAATTCTTTCTTTGGTTAAATGCATTTATAAATTCCAAGATGATTTAATCAATCAGAAATTCTTGTTACGCATTGATTGTAGTGCTGCTAAATAAGTACTGGAAAAAGATGTAAAGAATTTAGTTTCCAAACAGATATTTGCTGGTTGGCAAGCTGATTTATCTGCTTTTGATTTTTCTATTGAATATATTAAAGGCAGTTCTAATTCTTTACCTGATTTTCTAACTCGTGAATTTTTGCAGGGTTCATGAATCAGCAGCCCCCTTATGGGCAGGGCCGGGGTAATACTCCAAAGGCTCGTGGCAAAAACAAGGCTAAGGCCAAAGTGGTTATACCACTAAATGATGATCAATTTCCATATTTGGATCATGTTGCTGATCTGCTCAGCACACCTAAAAAAGACAGCAGCAGTTCACAACAGAAACACCAGAAACCAACCATGAAAGAGGTTCTTGAACAAGAAACTCCATGGATACCTAATCAAAGGTATATTCAGAGAGTATTGGTACTGGATTCTCAGGATGAGCAATGGATGCCAGATCCTTGGGAAGTGAAATCCAGATATTTCCAAACACAATAATATGCTGCACCGGATGGTCGCCATAGATATATCTATGAAGCCATTCTTACTGAAACTTCCTCTGTGGAGATCAACCACACGAAGCAATTTCCGAATTCCAAAGATAGTCCTCTTACTTATAGTAAAGCTATCTTTAAGAGGCTTATACGGCCTAGTGACTGGGGATTAAATCCTAATTTGCCAAGGAAAATATCTTATGGTCACAGTTACAATTATTGGGATTATATCTCAGCTTGGACATATTCGTTCTTTTATCAAAATCCGAAGCATAAGCATTCTTGGTTCTTCAAGATATGCCCTCAATCAGTTAAGGTTGATTTCCCAAACTGGGTTATACCCTGGTGTGCTATATTTGGCCCTGATCTGGATATTTTGCCCGAATCAATTAGGCAGTTATACTTGCCATGGCAACAATTTCATCCTCAATTAAGGGGACAGGATAATATTCCTGTAGGGAAATCCACCCTATTGTTCTTTACTGAATTTGGAATCCCTTGGATTTGGAAATGGGATTTCCAATGTGGTTATACCACTGACAAGTTACCAGTCCTTCAGAGGATCTTTTATTACCGATGGTGGTCAAGTATGACTCAAGACCCTATCCAAGCCCTCCTCCATCTTATCAGAAAGAAAACATTGGAATACATGGATAACGTTCCAAAGTTAACTATTCCAGAACCTGAAATCTTTAACCCATTTGAACTTGTTAAAGATATGATCAGAAAGCAACAACCATTAATTACCGAAGCAGATTTAATGGTTAAATGCATGGATTTTATGAGGAATAAATTTGTTACAACTTTTGATTCCTCCACATCAACAGTAAGAGATGATGCCTCCATGATATCAGTCTCTAGCCAGACCAGTCAAGATGGTAATCAGTTTTCCTGTCTAGCTGGTTATGCACAAGATCCTAATGAAAATCTTATTTCTAAAGATGAACCCATAGTAGCTGATTATTGGGACTCTCTCACCAGCCACTTGAAGGAAAAGATGAATCCACCCAAAAAGTAAAGATTCCTCTTATCCTGCCGACAGAAGAAGACAAAGGACTTTTCCCAAAAGTCTTTGGTTCTACAGTATTTCCTTAATCAGATGACTACTTTCCATCAGATAAGGAGACAGTACTTAGTGGTGGGCCGACCGACTGCATTATTCAAGCACACGATCCCATGCACTATGTGGACTTCAAAATGTTAATTTCAAGTCCATTTAATGTATAAATAGAGGGCAAAGTTTCCCTTCAATGTATCTTCAAATTTCTTTTCTTTCTCTTGTAATATCTCTCTGTACTAGTTTGGAAGTTCAATAAAGAAGAAAGTTTTCTGTAAGTTTGTCTAAATTTCATATTATTGTTTGATATTAGTTTGATATTTATTATTATTGTTGATATTAGTTTCATATTTATTATTGTTGATATTAGTTTCATATTTATTATAAGATTGATCCTCTCTCTTATTGGGTATCAGAGCCATGATGGCTTAACTTTCTATTGTTAATACTTATTAGGTACTGGTAGCATGATTATTATCGTAATTATGTAATGAACAATACGACTGCTATTCTGTCTAACTTATGTTTATCCCAGATTCAATTATGGGTCGTCCAAAAGTCGCGTTGGAATGGTTAGCCCGTTTTTGCATTAAATTGCTGCATAGGGTATTGTTTCCGGTAAATCGTTGACAGACGAGTAATCGAATCTCTCTTAAGTAGAACGACGACAGAATAGTAACTTACTGTTCATTATATAATATTATAATACTTATACTATGCAGACCTTGAAGTATTAACAATATTTAACAGACATGTTAAAACCATCTTCCTCCTCTTCAGGAGTACAGGAAAACCAGGATTCAGAATTGGTAAAAAATACTGAATTAGTGGAATGGACCAATGTTCAAAATAAATTGAATAAATGGACTATCCCTCCAGTAAGTGCTAAGAGCATTTACAAAATCGGAATGCTTAATGTCACTGATCTATGGGCTGTCAAGACCATGGAACAGACCATGCAATTAAGCACTCAAGACACAATAATTAAATTGTTGTCTTCCCGTGACCTTCAAAGGCACATGCACAAATATAAGTACATCCATATAGGTTTAATTCAAATTGCTTTTAAACCTTTAACCTTGTTAGGTATGGATGCTTGTATTCAAGCAACCTTTCGGGATGCTAGATGTCTGAAATTTCACCTTTCTTTAATGGGTGCATTGGAAACCAGTCTATGTCATGGACCGGTTTATTTTAATATCTACCCTAGTCTGAATTTATCTTTAACAGATAAAAATATCCATGAGGAAGTTAGTCTTCGTGTTCAGACCTATGGGTATGATTATTTACCTGGATCGGAAGTGATAAGTGTTATTTATCGCATCCATTACAAAGTACTTGATACTTTGTGTCCAAATGCCATACGCAAAGACTCCAAAGGAGTCACAGCGTTATGGGATACCAATATGTTCACATCAAATGTTGCCACAAAAAGGATGATTCCTTGGAGTGAAATAACATTTCCTGAACATTGGACAATTTCTAATGCAGTACCGGCAAAGCCCATTGCTAATCATAGCTTGGACTGCGTTATTCAGGACCAGGATGGTGATGTTTTTCTGAATTTTAGAAAATCAGTAGATCTACCCAGATCTACATCATCTAAAGGAAGTCATCTTCCTTATCATGTTTCTTATCCTCCTTCTCGCCATTCGATCTCGTCGGATTACAGAAAGGAAGATCTCCCTCCTGAAGTAGTTGGTTCCAATCAACTCAAGCTGAAAGGAATACAGCAATTTCCGAATCAAATTCCAAGAGGAGTCTACGAGAAAGCACCAATAGGTATGTCTTGTCGCCAATTTGGAATTGAATTCAGCCCAACTCCATCAGAAATGGGAATCGGAAATGAATCTGTCAAGGATCAATTCGAAGATCCTACAGATATAAATGACCCTCATGAATATTAGTTTTAATGGATTTTGTCCCAGATAGAATTGCCATTAATACTGAATTTCAACAGGATCGATATAAAGAATTCAGAAATTGGTATTTTAAAGCTTTTGACCAAAATCAATTACAGCTTTTTAAAACTCAATTTTATGACTTTTTACAAGAACGCAAAATGGTTATACCTTTTGTTTCTTGGTTTTTTATGACAAATCATTCTCTTGTTAATATAAACATATTGGATGATTTTTTTAAACCATGGACTACATCTGAAGATAAGGTTTATCACTCTGTCCATCCTTCCACTGAACATTTAATTCTGAAAAGAATTGACCCTGACAGTGGTGCAAAAGTGGAAACCAAGGCTTATAGCCAACCTAAAATAATTGATCTGTCCTGTAATGCTACTAAAAAAGACATTTCTCATTTTTTTGAGTAAGTAAGATTATATTCCAAAGTCATTCTAATCTAATCTTACTTACCAAATTTTTTTTCTTTTTTCTTTTCTCTTTTCCTTTAGTAGGTTAATGCTCAACAACACCCTCACTCTATAATGTGATGCATGACATAAAAGTACCCTCATTCTCCATTTGTTTTAGGAAAAAAAGAAAAAAGAAAAAAAAAAATACAATTATAGCTTAAAAATGAAATGTGGGTATATTTGGAGATAATAACGGATTAAAAGATTTACAATGTATTTGTGTCGGTTATTTTTTTCAACAATTGATATGAGAGTCAGGTACCAAAGAGCCGCATGTGAATTCAAGATCTCATAGTTAACAAGAAGCTTAAAAGTCGGTGATGTTCAATCTATCGCAAAAAGCCTCAATCAAGAAGAATTGTTGAGCTATTGAACAATTTTCCAGTGAGAACACAAGATTTTGTTTCACAAGTGAGAATTAAACATTATTTTATTCATTTCAAAAAGCAATTATAAAAAACTTTTTAAATGGAGAGAAAAGAAGTGTTCTTTATTTATTTTATTTTTTTAAACTCCGTTTTCAGAAAACTAATAAAAAAACTATTAATAGGATATTTAAGTAAATCGATATTTGCTCTCTTTTGGAAGGATTTTCACACAAACTACAAAATAAAGCAAACAACTGTTGCCAAATCATGGGTACCAAAATAAAATAGAGTTTAAGAGAGAGAGAGAAGTGAACGTTGGGGGCGAAGTAAAAACCAAGATCCGGAGAGAGAACCGAAAGACAACTCAAATCATTTGAATGAGGTTGTTTCATTGTACTCATTTTTTTTGTTTCAATTCTGTTTTTACTATACTTATTTATTGATTTTGTATATACGTGCTCGTATATTAAATTATCGGTGTATTATTTGTTGTTGTGTACATTCGATTTGGTTTTGCTTACTTCAAGGGCTTTGGTTTTAGGATTGTTGAACTTTCATGTAATTGTTTATTGGTTGCCTACGTTTTCGATTTTCAGTAGGAGCGCCTGAGTTCTGATTTGTTTCTTGTACTGTTACTTTTGTTGGGACTGGTTGGTTCAATTTAGCAATGTGCTAGGGCATGTAAATGTATTATTTTCACTGAATTAGACAAACCCAAAAGCTAAATTGTATGTATAATATTCACTTAATCAGAAAAACCAAAAGCTAAATTGTGGATTTGGTGTCAAGTGAATGTTTTCATTTCGGAGTGAAATTTCATGATTGAGCATGTAGTGAATGATTCAGAGAACTGTGAATCCTGTATGCGGTGTGATATTTGTTGTTGACTGAAATATTGTTGTTGGGTTCAATTTACTGTTGACAAGGCAGGTGTGGATGTCCTCTGGAGAAGTTATTTTTTTCGGAAGTGTCAAACTTGTAAGTCATATTAAACTTGTCCAGAAAAAGAAAAGAAACAAGTAATGTTCTTACTAAATTGGCCGAAGAATGGAAAATTTAGTGGAGATGACAATGAGCCGAACACATTATTCGATTCCAAAATCACTAGATCTCTCCCTTACTTTGCATACAATTGGATACAACTGATAATGATTTGCATTCTTGTTTGCATGTTTTGTAGAATTTTTTTACTTATAATCCAAAATAACAGACTTCTGGAGGGAAAAAGTTCAGCTTTCTCCCCTTAGAAAGGGATAGTCACTTTGCCATGATGGTTCTCTACTTCACTTTTAACCTACAACTACATGGTATGTTTCATGTATCAATTGGTGTATGCTTACAAATAGTAATATAGACATTCAGATGTTATATCTCATACGTGAACTACTTGGTATGTCCGATTTTTCAAAAAATTAATTCGCGTTTTTTCTGATTTTGTTTCGTCATTTTCTTTAACCATCTAGGACTTGTGGCCGGGATCCCATTACGCGAACTATTTAGATGCAAGAATTTTGAGCAATAAATGATTCATTTTTTTTTTTTTTTTTTTTTTCAATTATTTTTCCAAAAACTTATTTTGGGGTTTTTTGGTTGTTGAAAATTTTCCATAATTTTTGGCACTCAATGGTATTGTAATGGGCAGCATACTTACCGGAGTTCATTTTGTTGCTACAGGAGCGGTCATTGTCACCAAAATTTATTTCGTAGCGACAGAAAGATATCTGGTGTATCATTTCCCTGTATAATTAGATTGTCTTAGTAGTTCCGTAATGTGATCTTTGCGGATATTTGATGGTCGAGTTGTGTGTTGTGCGCATAAGTTATAACTTGAGGATGGGGATACTAAACTTTTTTAAGGCCTGAAGGTATACCTTGTTTAAGGGTATTGGAACAAGATGGAGAACATGAATTATGCCGAGGAGCTTATCAGGGAGTTTCTTGTCTTCAGAGGGTTTACAAACACTTTGCAAGCGTTTGAGACAGCTATGCAGTGATATTGGCAAAGGATTTCAAGTGGATAAGATATTAGACTTAATGTTTTCGGTATATATTTGCAAATTTCGGGCAGAAAAATTAATTGGTTTGCTGGGATTTTTCAAGCAGTGCTTTTCTTCATCCTCCAAGACAGTATTTTTTGATAAATTATCAAAATTGGACGTTTCTATTATTTGCTACTATATTGTCCATGCCATACGATTAGGAAGGAAAGACAAAGTTATCGAGTTTTTTTGGAATAAGTGGTGGTGACTTGCTGCAAAGAGACCAGGAATGGAATTTGTGGTTTGGTGGGTTATATATATATATATATGTATCTCTTCCGTCTGCTTCTTTTTTCTTTTGAACTTATTTTCTCTCTAACTGAACCTTTAAATTTTCTCTGCAGCTGTCCCGTATCTGAAAAACCCATGCTTGGATCCGCAGTTTCATGTATACTTTTCACAGGAGTGGTTTGATGCCTTGCGTCTTTTAGTGAGGAAATTTTTGAGCGCGATGTTTAATGGTACCCATATCCTTAAGAACAAACTTTTATATGCTCTATTTACTCCTTAATTTTCACTATGTTCATTTGTTCTTTGCCGTGAGTCAACTTACAAGTTCATATTAATAAATCAGTTTTTTCTGTGAGCATACATACTTTACTTGATGACCAGTTGAATTTGATATTATTCCTTTTTATTACGTTGTTCTGTTTACTCAATTAGGGTTTACTTAAATTTCCATTTTTATGTGTGAAGTATATATGTTTTGCGCTCTAAGTTCAAATATATCCTGGGTAATTTTGTTGTCAAGAGGCTTTTGGGAGCTGGGAGTCTTGGGACACCAAATCTGCAGTTAGCTGGATGAGTTTGATTACAACAAAGCCAACACTTATTTGAGGGACTCTTAAATCTGTATAGGGGTTCAGTTTTGTGCTAAGAAAGACCCATATAGATGTCTTATGCAAAAAGTCAAAAAGAAAGAAGACCCTTGTAGATGTAAGATTCAGTTTGGTTTTCTACTGACTGACTCTTAGTGGTTTCGAATTTAGTGGAACCAGATTTTCGAATTTGCAAGTACCCTCCAAAATATCCTTGATCACAGTTTTTCTGGATTGTGGTAAATTTTGTTTCATCTGTGTCTTTAATTGATAGAGTGTTTTCCCTTTTTTCTTATGATCTGTTGATTTTCTTTATTATTGATGAGAATAGAATAGTTGATGTTGTAAGTCAACAAGCAGGTTTATAGACTAGTCTAAGGTAGTGGGTGCACACTAGAAAATTGAAATATAGGAAAATTGATAGATTAAGGGATGGAGTTGGTGGAAAATATGATTAGAAGGAAGGTTAGGAAATCTTGCCTACAAGTGCCTAAGAGGTAAGAGGTAATTGAAACACATGATATCAACTTTATTGTGGTAGTTGTCAAAAAAAAAAAATAATAATAATAATAAAAAATTGCTCAAGTAGGAATAAGGGTAAATTTCCTCGACCTTCCTTGAGGTTTGGTTAAATAACCTATGGGTGAAACTAATTGAAAAAGTATGGTTAACCTTCCTTGAAGTTTTACTTAAATCACCTGGTTAATTAGGGATTAAGTCTGTCAGAGGAATAATTTCTAAATACCAAAATGTCCCTATCAACTGTACCAAATGACCATTAAGTGCATATAAAAAATAAAATTAATATAATTTCTTTAATCTAAATAAATAATATTTAGGGTAATTTGCACTCACACCCCCTGAGGTTTAGGTCAACGCCACTCAGCGGACGGTCAACGCACTAGTTTACATTGACACCCCTTGAGGTTTTAAAAGTTTTCACACACAGCCCCTTTACCTGAGAAAATGATTATTTTAACCTTTGACTTGGTCAACAAATACATAAAAAGTGTAAATTACTAATATAGCCCTCAAAATAACCCCATTTTACATTCTCTCTCTAATCCTACACAGTACCTCTATCCTAACCATACCCTCTCTTTCTCTATCATCCCATACCGATACCCTCTCTGCTGCGGTGGATATTCTTCTGTCTCACTTTGCTTCGTACCGGTGAATAAGAGAAACCCAACCCAGATCACGATCGGCCTTGTTTAGTGGCATTTAGTCCGCCACCACCACCCACCATGAGAAACCCCAAATCGAACCCAATTTGAAATACTATACGTATAAAGCTTTGCCGCCGTTGAGCTGCTGCTTTGCCACCTCGCGAGGCCAAGATCGAGTCCGCTACCCACCCAATTGAACCAATTGATCACCATGTTTGCTAGATGTAAGTCCACTGATTCAATTATTCAGAGGCAAAAGCCACCACCGCATCGTCGTTCTTCTCTTCGCCTCCAGTAATTTCGCCGTGGGTAGGGTTAGATTGGGCTCGGTGTGGTCTAACCGTGTGGTTGTGGTGGTGTGTGGTGGTTGTGGCTGTGGGCATGGTGTGTTTGATGTGCGATGTTGTGTGGTTGTGGCAGTGTGCGGTGGTTGTGGCGTGTTTGGTTGTGGTGGTGGGGGTGGTGTTGTGCGGGTGTGGCGTATTTGATGTGCGGTGTTGTGTGGTTGTGGCAGTGTGCGGTGGTTGTGGCGTGTTTGGGTGCGGCGTTGTGCATGTGCGGCATTGTGCAGGGTTGGTGTGTGGTGGTGTGCGGTGGTTGTGGCGTGTTTGGTTGTGGCGGTGTGGCGGTCGGTGTGGCGGCTTATGGGTGAGGGGATTACAGGATTAGGGTTATTTTTGTCAATTACTAGGTTCAGGGGTAAATATGACTTTTGAAACCTCAGGGGGTGTCAATGTAAACTAGTGCGTTGACCGTCCGCTGAGTGACATTGACCCAAACCTCAGGGGGTGTAAGTGCAATTTACCCTAATATTTAATATAATTAATACATATGAAACCAAAGGCTAAAGCCTCCGATCAATTCTAATCCACTCTCTCTGAATCTCCATTGTCAGTGAATCCCTCTTCCACCTCACCATCTCCACATTTATGTCGAAATCTTCAACATTTGACTTCATGTGGCTCATCAGGCCACTACATAAGGAGGATTCTTGTCTTTGGAGTTCAAGAGCCATCAATGGACACATCGAGGATGGCTGGATTTGGATTGGGGATAGTAATGGTCAAAGATTGATACAAATCTATAGAATGAACACATTTGCTAATGGTTTTGGATGTAATATGTTGGTTTAAGTTGAAGGGAAGAAATGGTCCTCAATCTTAAAGAAACAAGACAGTTTGATCGTGGGATTTGCTTGTGGTTGGAGCAAGAAAATTGTAATTTCCAGTTTTCTCCGAATGAAATCACGATATCTGCTTTATTGAGTTGGGTTTTCAAGGCTAATTTAATCCTTCTGGATTTCTTGGAATTGTTGAATTCACAATGATGGTCGTTTGGAGTGGTTGTGGGAGGATCGTTTCGGAGGGATTGGGGGGACCATTAAACGCATGTGGCGAAAGGGGAAGGAGTTGGAAGAGTAGACGGAGACGAGTTGCACAGAGCGAGAGTTGAGGGCGATGACGCTGCTGCCAGAGGTGTAGACGAGGAGTCTGTCAGACAGGCCGGCTTGATAGATCTCCAAGTGAGAGAGAAAACTGATCTTGGGTGGAAAAAGAGTTATTAGGCTTTTCAAGGTTACAAGGGTGGAGAAGTAATCTCATATTCCTTTGATGACATCAACCATGATGTAAGCAAATATATTAAAACCGAGGGTAGAATGGTCCTTCCTCTAAGGAAGTTAAAGGTCCTAACAGTGTTACCTCTGACGGAGCGGGTCACAGAGATTTTTCAAATAGTTTCACCCGTAGGTAATTTAGTCAAACATAGAAATGGAGTAAGGCTATCATCAAACATAGAAATGGAGTAAGGATATCACTTCATAAAATTTAAAAGAATTTTTAGTTGTTATTAGAGTGAAGGGTATCTTGAATTTTGTGGATACATTGGTTGTATAGCTGGCTTGATGGTGTTCTTGGGCTGCACTCCCATTTGGGTGCTCTTTAATGAAACTTTACTGACCCAAAAAAAAAAAAAAAAATACTAAATGACTGTACTAATGAGTTTTATTTATTTATTTATTTTCCCCACCATAACTAACTGTAATTAGGTAGTATCAAGCAATGCCGATTTTTATTCGAAGTTAGGTACAAAGGACAGGGAAAAGAATAGATACAACTTTGCTACGTTAACAAATTTAGAGATTTAATCATTTTAAGTATGAGAGAGAGAGAAGATTTGAGTGCTTGGTGAAAGATGATTACATTAGAAAAAGGTGAATAGGCTCCTTAACTTTGGAAACTTATTGAATGAAAGTCATATAGGAATCTTTAGATTTAGAAAAATATGGTAACTTTAGGAAGGTTAGAGAAAACAATTATATATATATATAGAATTAGAATGTGCAATGTAAAAATGTATAAAGGAAGATGAAAACAAGAAGGCATTAGGGTCTAATGACATTCCTATTGAGGCTTGAAAGTGCTTTGGAGATGACGTGTCTTGCCTAAGAAACTTTTCTTTGGAGAATGGTTTGTCTAAGGTAACAAATCTATTTAATTGAATCTTAATTAAGTAATTTCTCGATGTGTGGCGAGATAGTGTTTTACTCTATATATATAGATAAGAGGATGGTAAGTTTTATAAATTACCTTGATATTCAATTAATGAAGCATACAAACAAAAATTGCAAACTGTGATGGAGCAATGGCTAAAACTTAAAACAATAGTATTGATTGATTGATTGATTTATTTATTATTTTTGAGTCTTTGACAAGGAGGTCAAAGTTATTTACTTATTTAGAAGACTGCTATAAAGATGTAAAGGCAGGAAGAAAATTTTCAAATATGGCTAGACGTTGAAAATTCTTCAGATGGAGTTCTCAGGAATATAATATGATGAGCTTATTAGTGAAAGAAGTCACAAATATATGTATGTGCCTATGGGAGAAATAAGTAAATTATCAATTGTTGTATGCTTATAACAGGGATCAACATTAGATCCCCGTCTTTTTGCCTTGGTAAGATAAATTCGGGATTAGGTTATGGTGCATGTTAATTTTTACAAAAAAATTTAAGCAGGGATATATACTAAATTAAAGCTTTGGAGAGGTTCTAGAGTCAAGAGGGTTTAAACTAGCAGTGGTCAATTAAATATATGGAGTATATATTAGCAAAACTAAGACTACAGGTATGCATGATCAAGGGATCAAGAGATACCAAAAAAAAAAAAACGCAACAATTTTGTTACTGGGCCCAATAATTTTTAAAGGGATGGTGTGTTTGAAGATGATATTTCTTTTTTGCTTATGGACTTAAAGCCGAATATATTTGCATGTTGTATGATATACATCTAAATCTGAAAGATTTTTTTTATGAAACAAGTAAGTTAACCACACTTCATTGGATAAAATATTGGACGGCCAAGAAAAAAACATGTTCATAAATTGCGCGTGGTTGGAACATGAATGGTGATGCAAGTGTGTGGTAAGATAACAAAAAATAACTTAGAAATGGAAGCTGCTGGACTGATGAAGAGAAAATTTCCTATAAAAAAGGTGAATAGATAAATTGAAGTGCAATGTAATTCATGAATGATAGGGGAAGGGGATGACCAAAATTAACTAGGGGTGAGATATTAAGGAGATAGATGTCTGCATGTGGTTTATCCAAAGTTATGGTCTTAATTAGAGAATAATGGCAAAACTGGATTTATTATATGTTAGACTCTAAATACTTGGGATAAGGTTTTGTCGAGTGAAATTAATTATGTTGGTTGTGATTGTCAACTGGCTTTCACATTTATAAAAGGTGTGCACTATGTTATATGCTAACATACGTGATGCGCAAGCAATTAAGATAAAGAACTTGATTTCAGGTTGATATAGGTGATGGGTATTCCTAACCTGGCTCTTTCTGTCTTCGAAGTTCATCTCCACCTGTTTAAACTTCATGACTTCATATTGATGGATGTTATATGTATGTTTTGTATATGCAATAATATTATATCACTGCGTTTGAACTTCACTTACAGAAAAAGGAAAAAATGGAACTTTTGAATTCCATGGAGCTTTTCCTTAGCTAACTAATGCATCCCTGCCCTGTTGAAGATTAGTTCAGAGAGAAATACCGTAAACCGTCTTAAAAGAGACATTAAACAACTTAATCTTAAATTGGCACAACTTCAGGCTTTATTGGAGGAGACAGAGGGTCAGCTACATTGGTCAAGGAGGTAATGACTTTTTGAACTTAAACTTTTCTGTACTCTAATGGTTTGCTTACAGCATTTTTTGATATCTGTAATGCTTCATAAGTGATGGAAGTAAGCACCGGTGAAGCAAACAGTACAAGACACACTTCAACCGGGAGTTTGTTAAGTGCTGCGCATGAAGAAAGTAATGTTGCGCCAAATGTTTCCCGTGAAACTTCTGCCTTTGCAAGCCGACATATTGGTGAAGCAGAGTTGTCTAAGGATTGGTATGTTGCTGAACCTGCTGAAATTTCACAAGAATCAGGCCCACCTTATTCTGCTCATGGTTCGAGTTCTAAAATGAATCATCATATTGGAGACTGTGGAGCAACAAGTGCCCCTCAAAATTTCTACGATGGTATTCATATTGGTAAGTAATACTTGTAATTTTTTGTCTCTCCTCCTTCCATGGATACAACAGAGTGATTGCCGTGTGATTGGTTGTCTTTGAATTAGGGAAATTTTCTACTGCTTGTTGCTTCATGGAGCTATTTTCGAGTGTTTGCAGTATCAGGTAAAGCTAAGGTCACAGTCATGCAGTAACAGTGTCGGAAACATCATGAAGGGCATAATAGGAATGGCCATCAGTGTTATGTCTCTTAAACATAGGAAACGCTAAAAGTCGATTACAATTATGTACTAATTTCAGTTTGTTACATTAAAATACTACAATTGTTTCTTTGAAAAATGTTATGTCACCTTGAAAAATGTTCTACTTGTTATTGGACTTCATGTTGGTTTGATCTCCAATGAGTTCGGGAGCCTTAGAAGAGAATACAAACTGAAAAATGAGTGGAAGATGAGGTCTATATTTTTTTTTTTTTATTTTACTTATAAAAAAAATCCGCGTGAAAGTGATTTTAGAGATCATTGCATTTGGGAAAACGTAGTAGTTACTTGTTTACACTCTTTAAAAATAGTTTTATGATTGTCTTATTAAGAGAAGACAAATGATGAGTGGAAAGATGCCAGTTGGTTAGAGTTCAGGTGTTTATTGTGGTCTACTGGAGAGGGAGACTAAAGGGACATAAGCACAAGTAAGCTTTTGGGATTAGAAATTTCATAATGGATTGGTTTAAGGGTCTTTAAAATCAAATTGTAGGGTTAGTCACCACCGGACCTTGACTTTGGATGGTATGATCTCTCCTCCCAAAAGGTGAGGTAGAGAGTTCGAGCCCCACTAGGGGCATGTTGTGAGTATGGGCTTGTGTGGCTTTTACTTTAGTAAAAAGAAAAATGTAGGGTTAGTCTCATGACAAAAGAAACCAACTTTTAATTTCTGACTATTTTACTAAAATTACATGCCATATTCCATATGCCGTAGTATTTTTAATAAAAAAATTAGCAAAGTAACTGATCCCTCTCTCGTCTGCTTATATACGATAAAGTTCAAGTAGTTAGTTATTGTAGAAACCTTGAAATATAATCCTCACCCAGAAAACCCAAGAATATTTTTGAACCCAAGAAGTTAGTTCTCAAGCCATTTATAGTATTATTTATAGTTGACCATTTTCAGACATGGATGTCCTTTTCACACCTATCAAGTTGATAAAATGAGCCAATATGTTAAACAGTTCTCCTGAATGCAATGGAGTGGTATCTTTCTTGTGCTCATTTTGACTCCCACATCCTATCCAATGGGAGCTATGAAAAACTAGTTTTAGTAAAAAACAAGGTGCACCATTGGTTTTGTACTTAATTTGCCCCTCCATAAACTGTGCTTCAATATGCTCAATTTAGGTTTGATTTTTTTAGTGAATTTTGATTCAACAATATCTTCAGTTCTAATGCTATAAAGGAAATTGGGCTACACATTGCAATTAGGTTCTGCTACCTCAGTCTATTTGAATATGAGATTGTTTTTTTGCCTAAATATGAGACGTTGAGTGGAGTGAAAGAGTGATAAAGTCCACATTGAGGTCATGTTACAGGAAAGGGAAAGACCAAAATTACCTTGGTTTGAGATAGTAAGGAATGATATAGCAGTGTGAGATCTAATCTAATGTGCAAAATGGAAAAACATGGTTCATGCAACAACCCCACATAGTTGGGATTAGATTTTGTTGAGGTGTGTGACGGCCTTGGTTTTACAAATCTGGTGCGTCTGTGATGACCCGATAACGGATTTGAAATACGGAAGCGAAAAGCAAAACCAAGGTCTCTAGAGATGCGCGTCATCCCTATGACACAAAAGTGGCCTCCCGTGAAGCCACCGAACCCAAAAGGAAACCCTACGCAGAAGCTAAGGTTAAAAATGACGATTTTGTAACTCCAAGGGTAAAATAGTCTTTCCACACAGATTTGGGTGCCATCGTGCAAACCATTGGGAAAACAACGAAAAATCAACAAAGTTAGACTCAAGAATCGCCTAATTCAGAGTCCGGATAACAAAGTATAGCTGTTTAAAAACAGAGCATCAAGGCTGTCAAGACAGCCTGACACACGCAGGCACAGCTGCTACTGGTAGCCAACTCTGGCTACCGATAGCTAGAAACCCAACTTGCTGCCCAAGTGAAGAAAAAGAGCTCGGGATAGTTTTTAAAATGCATAAATTGATTATGCAGCCTTAAAATACACCCACAAGACCCCGGAAGTTTCAAAATGGTTGACACGCTTTTCAAAAAAAATGTTGATGAATAGTGCCAAGTTTTATTTTTTAAAAAAATGCATAAACCAGAAAATCGGATTTGATGCAGGGTTTTCGAGACCAAGACGACATGTTTTGGAAAAATGTTGTGAAGAAACTCTTCCTAAAATCACATTTTCTAAGTAACCATGCCAAGGCCGAAGCTTATTTTTCAAAGGAAATACGCAAAATGCCCCTAAGATCAGATTTGCAAAAAAATGAAAATAAAGTGTCCAAAGGATGCTCATTTCATCAAAAATGTGTTTATGTGTAAAAGTGAACATGCACGCAAACGTAATATGCATATTTAGACGCGCTACAATGGCCTATGGCCTCCAAATACGCCCAATGCAAAATATGACACGTCAGACCTCCGAAATCTATAAAATTGCCTTTAAAAGTAAATTTCGAAACTAAGTGCATACATGTAATCCCAAAAGATGTTTGGCCCTTGGCCACATATCATACATATAAAATGAGTACCAAAAAGTGTACTTACGTACACATTACATATCTCAAGGTAAAAACGACATATTAAACCTAGCTATACTTTATAACTTAAAAAGGCAAAACGACACATGTTAACACTTGTATGCTCGTGAAAATTACTCAAAAGTACACCAAGATGACAAGTCAACCTAGGGATGTTGTGTATCCCAAAACAAGATCTCCTTACCTGAAAATATCCCAAACAACTAGGGTGAGTAAACAAGTTACTCGTAGAAAGAAGTGTATGCGTATACCCTAAAGTTTTAAATATAAGTCAAGTTCAATATAGATCATTACAAAGGATCATTCCTCCTAATGTCTATATTTCAAGGTAAACTAAGGGATCATCTCAAGCTACACAAGATTGAAATGAAGCATGCTAGGAACAAGTATACAAGGTAAAAGTATACTAGGAAATTATGAAACTAAATCCCCAATATATAAGTATACACACCCAAGTACACAAAATAATATTGAAGCGAAATACACAATATACAAGTATACACACACAAGCATACTAGACAATATTGAAACGAAAAATATGGCATACAAGTATACAAGCTCAAGTATACTAAACCAAAGGATACCTCATGCTCCAAATCACAAGCTACAAGTAATCAACGATAACAACTTGGAATTGAATGCGAAATCAAGTAGTTGGAAAGATTAGGACATGTGGTCTCTAAACCAAGCAAGTTATTCCGGGTAATTACGACCCACAAGGTACTACCTAGTGCGCACTAATGTTGTAGGGAGAACTCCTATCTCCTGTACTAGAGCCAAACCCTAGTCGTAACATTTTTCAAGTCCTTACAAGCTTCCAAAATCAACAAGTTCATGACATATTCTCAACAACAATGCATGAAACTACCTACCAAGCACAAGTAGGGTGAAACCACACAAACCATGTCTTAAGGTTTCATGTCTACAATGGCATACACCATGTTGAATCTTCAATGTGTGATTCGTTACACTTACAAATGGATGCAAAATGTCAAATCTTCAATGTGCGATTACACACAACAATGACACTATAAGTCAACTAAATCAAGTTACCCTTATACAAGCCACAAGTACTAAATACACTACAGTTTAGTAACAAATTTTCAAGGTAAACATTAGTGATGCTCTAGATAAACAATATACCTATACAAGATATAAGTACTTAAGCTACACAAGACAATGATATCATATATCATGCTAAATCAATCCACCATCATAATAAGCTACAATTACTAATCCACACAATATAGTAATGAGCTTGCAAGGTAAATACTAGTATATTCAACAAGACTTTCATATTACAACAATAATAAAATTTAGTAGTCTAGTAAATGAAACAATTTACTTATAACAAGATACATATACTTCACATGCTTTGAATCATTAAACAAGCTATACCATATATATAAGCTATGATTCAACAAGCTACTAAGTACAACAGTGTCTCTACACAATATATACAAGTTATACATGCTTTGAATTGTAAAACCCTAAGCCAAGCATATAGAATCTACACTAATATGCATTTCAACAATTCATAAAGTATGTAATCAATATATATTAAGCCCCAAAATAAGTGAAACAGTAAGGACATAATAAACATACAACAACTCCTACCTCAATTTGAGATGAAAATCTCAAATGACACTAAAATGGAACCTTTCCGAATGAGACGAAACTTCTAGGTTATGACGGGGACAACGATAAGTCCTCTTGCGGCAACACCAAAATCCAAAACTCAAGAATGGTCAAAACGGAATTCCAATTAAATGGAATTCAAGGCCTCGCCAAGGCCGACAACAATGTTTTCCACGGCGAAGGAAGAATCAAAGGGGAAGAAGGCCAAAAGGAGGAAAGAAGGAAGAAGCCCAAAGGGGAAAAGAAATGGCCGGCAGCCATGGGAATCTGATATTTTCTCTCTCCTCCCTTCTATTTATATAATTTCCAAAATATCCCCCGAACGGGCCCCGTGCGGCCCTGAAAAGTGAAAACTGTCCAAACGCACTCAAACGGAAAATGACCATGAATGAAAAAGCACCGTCATGACAAAAAATGAATAACGGAAGAAACGGCGTCAAAAACCGAGTCTTTAGTAGAAAGATACGCCCCGAACAAGTTCGGCAACAATAGGGGTCAAAAACCTTAAAACGGGGAAAAACGACCAGAAGGCATTTACAAGAGTATGTGACTCGACAAAATTCGAAAATGAATCCCGTATGAAGATCCTAACCCAAAATGGGACACTTGGCATTAACTTTCGTTAATTGCATAAAGGCCTCTCCACAAAAGGACAACTGTACAAATGACCGAAAATGAAAATATCTTCCAAAAGATACTTTCTTAAAAACCCCCGAAACAAAATATCTTCAAAAGATATTTACAAAAAATACCCCAAGAAAAGAAAATGTTTCCGAAGAAACTCTGCATCCATACCCCTACGAACACAGTGGACAACCAGTGTGCTTTTCCACAAAAGCAAAGATACGCATTTCATAGAAATCAAATGGAATGCATGTACATGAAGTCAGAAATCAAATCCGAGCACAAAACCGAACTAAAAAACCCTACCTCGGGTCTTAAAAACCTTAAGGTTACGCGAAGAAAATTAATAC